TCCAGAGGCTGAATGTTGATTCCAGCTGGTGTAGGTCTGAGCCACATAGACGACTTAGGTTCCCCTTAGATGTTCCAGCTCCCAAGACTTTATTTAAAACTCCACTGTCCCCAAGAACTAATGTGGCTACACAGGGAATCTCTGAATTGGTGTGAACTTGAAGCAGCTCCCTCAGATGCCAAGCCTGGCTGCGTCTCTGTGATGCTGGACGGACCATTTTCCTGAGCACTCCCTCCTCTGCCCCGAACCTCACCAGCAGTCACTTCCTGCCTCTCCTCTCCAAGGAAGGGGGTGCAGTTCAGACGACAGCCCTGGCTTATAGCTTCCTTCTGTACAAAATGAGACGAGGGAGGCCCAGGTGGCTCTTCATCCCACTGGTGGTTCTTTCAGGAGTTGGGCCAATCTGGCTGTGCATCCAGGACACTGTGGACGGGCTGGGTTTGTCACTTTGCCCCTCACCCTTTGGCAAAGACCATGACTTTGCCCCTCACCCTTTTGAAAAGACCGTGAATCAATTTTGCCAATAGTTCTGTGACATCAGTCACTTACCCTCTTGATAGGGTTGGATGAGTCAGATGCTCTCCAAGGCTGCTGCCCGCCCTGCCGTACATTGTGGTTTTGCACTTTGCTTTCAGTGCAAGAGGTGCTGACGGCAGATCTGTCCTCTTCTGTAACACTAATGATCGTTCTGTCTGAGCTGTCAGAAAGGGGGCTGCCAGAGTGGAAAGGAGAAGCAAAGAGGCTTGGCTCCTCTTGGCCCTGGCACAGGAATGGGCATGAGTTGGACATCTGAGCCCACATCCTGCCCGATGCCCGTCTTAAACTTTACCCATAATCCCAGTCATGACAATTTGAGGTCCAAGATCCAGGCTGTGCTGTGAGCAACTTGAAAAACTGTGGAATTCAGTTCAGCTCAGCTGTACAGAGAGAAACATTCAGCACGTGTACCTCCTAGGGCTGTGTGGTCTGTGTGGCTTTCTTGTTTCCCCGTTACTGATTTTCCTGGAGGATGAACATCCAGATCTTTTGAAGCCTATTTTGAAATCCTTCTCCATGCGGTTCTGAAAGATACCCTTGGTCTGTTATTAGGCCATTGTGAACTGTAGGAGAGGTCGGGGCCCAGGAAAGGCTCAGCTGGAAGTGCAGCGAACACTGTTCCTTGAAGGATTTAGCATTTCTAGTCGTTTTCTTTGGTGTGAATTTTCTTCATTAAGTTTCGAATGTGAGGCTCTGGCCCTTGACCTTTCTCCCCAGGCAGCATATCCTGTCTCACCACTACAGGGGGCTTGGCTTGCTGATACAAGGAGATTGTCTTTTGCTCTTCCGTTGGGGGGCTGCACGGTTCTGGGGGCTACAGAACCACCACCTAATTCCCTGTGCTGTCGACTTGCTCTTTTTTAAGAAGGATGATGTGGGAGCTTGAGAAATCCTTCATAAATTCTTTCTTGAACTGAGCCTTACTAATTGGTCAGAAGCTGCTCACCAACCTAAACTTCATTTAATAAAAGGAATCAACCCGCTTTGATTTGGAAATGTTTACAGCTGACGTTGTAACGCATCCATTGACTCAGAACTCACTGTTGCCTCCATTTCCTCCTAACCTCATGATGGGTGGTAAACCTCTGAAAATGTGATTTGTCCCTCTTCACCATCCACAGGTTAATTTTCATTGACCGTCAGACTGTGCCTGTCTGTAACCAGGTTCATCTCACTCCCCAGCTGTACCAAGTTGCTGGCTGACTGTCGCTTTCATCCTCCAGGAGCCTGGGACTCAGTCTTTCCTCTTGGGTCTTTCCTTTTCAGACACGGATCCTACAAAAATCTGCACTGGGAAGGGAGCGGTGACTCTCCGGGCCTCGTCCTCCTACAGGGAGATCCCAAGCGGTAGCCCTGTGAGCCCTCGGGAAACCCCGCAAGAGGAAAGGAAACCAGGTGCGCTACCTCGGAGACCAGGGGAAGGGTGGGGCTCTGCCTACCGATTCTCCCAGGGGCCCCTGGCACAGTCCTCTCCGTCTCGTCTCTGTGGTGGGTGGTGATCACTGCCCTAAACTGACAGGTCCCACTTGCTTCAGGCAAAGGCACGGCGGCGACCACTTTACTCTAGCTTTTGACGGAACACGTGAGCAGTCTGAGGCTCTGCAGACTAGTTTAGGAGGATGGAGATGGCTTAGGGGCCTGGGGAGGGAGTGGTGGGATGGCCTCCAGGCTTGGCTTCTTTGAGCCGTCCCCACTTCTAGGGGCTCAGCTGTGACCATCCAGGCGGGGCTGGGGCTGGGGAAGAAGCCAAGGGAGACTGAAAAGTGCGGGCGGCCGAATGGCCTCAGCTCCCGGAAAGCAGGGAGGCATCCCGAGGGAGCAGGATCAGGAGAGCGTGTCTAAGGCCAACGCAAAAGCCCCCGCCCCTCGGGAAACCCGGGCGCCTGGAGCACGGTGCTGAGGTGGACACCTGGGACTTCGGGATCGGCACATGGGGTTCATGTCCTACTTCCACCACCTGTTGGCTCTGCAGCCTGGGATGAGATGGCTGCTCTCCCTCAACCCTGGTGAGCCCACCTGTCGGATCAGGTTGATAACTACCTGCCTCGCCGCGTCATTGTGAGGATGTCAAGGGTTTTGCATTGAGGTTTTGCATTGTCGACAAGTTCCCAGGTCCTGCTGATGCTCCTGGGCCAAGGACCACACTTGAGAGCTACTGCCATAGGGGATGGGAGTTTTCTCCCATCTTGAAGGAAGGAAATGGAGAGAAAATGAATTGGGGTGATGACCACTTCCTTGGGACCAGAGACATGCAAGCTCTTCTGGTAGTCGGGAGTGGTGTGTTGTGATAAGATGGAATTGTACAGGATGGAGATGGTCAGTACCCAGCATCCTGGAGACTTGACTTTCTTTCTGTTCCCTGCCAGCCGTAACAGGTACCAAGGCAGATGCCCAAGGACGAGGCCAGGCTAGGGTTTGAGCACCAGCCCCGTTCTGGTAATGTCAGTCCCTGTGGAAAGCTTCTTTTTCCCTAGGCTCAGGGGAAGGCATGAGTGGCCTCCAGCACTATTAGGTTGAAAGTAGCTGCTTGGCTCTGTTTTCCTGAACCCATACCTGCCTCTTTCCCTACTGTACTTTGCCACTCTGGTCTCCAGGAGAGGTGGGGCCACTGGGAAGATCCATCTCCCAAGCTGGAGGACCTCTGAGAAAGAGAGAAACCTAAGGGATAATTTAAAGAGAAGGACCATACCTACAGCCCCGTGGCCCGATAAAATGATCTCACAACCTCCTGGCCCTTCCTCTGGTGGTGAATGGGAATGGTGAATGGCAGGAGAGGGAGCCTTGAGCTCCCCCTGGTGGTCACAATGTGGCACTAACACAGAGCCCCGATGTTATTCTTTACCTTGCTGTCTGTAGCTTTGCACTCCAGTGCAGTGATTTGAGCACTTAAGGAAGCTCTCTCTAGTCCTCAGATAATTCTATATCTTACAGATTTATAACAGATAATTTGGATTAAAAAAAGATCTTGTTTTAAATTGAAAATACTCTGAAGGATTGGGGGATGACTATCAGTCATTCACACCTTACAGTAGATTAATCTTTGTAGATTATTTTTCTCCAGATAAATAGAGGTCATTGAATCCAAATCAGCAGACATTCATTCTGCATCCTATAGGGGCCAGGCATCACTGGGAGTCACGAGGAATTGTGGCGAGAAGGGAAGAAAAGGGAGAGAAATTTGGGGGCATCATGTGAGCACAAGAGTTCCAACCAGAGAGTCAGGTGTGGAGCCCCAGTCCACTGTCATGCTTTCTGACCACACGTATGTCACACCTCTGAAGCACGTATGAAGTATGAGGGACTTGGGAAAGATGGTTTTCAAGCCTTTCTAGTTCCAGAATGCTCTGTGAACTTGGGAAGTTTGGGAATTAACCTGACACAAACAGAAGCCTATTCACTGGGGACACATTCAGGACTGTACACTAGGCCAGTTTGGGTGGAAAGGAACAAGCTGGGGTTGAGTAGGGGTGGGGGGAAATTACACTGATTAGGTGAACAGCAGGCTGGAATGAGTTAACACTGGAGGTGCGGATAAAAGAGGATGCACCTCCAGAGGTGGGACACTCAGGACCAGGGATCTTGTTCTCTTACCCTCCTGGCCATTGGCCAGCATCCTGCTGGCCCTTGACTCTGGCTGGGTCCATGTGGCTCCCCAGCCCTCCTCATCCCTGCCTGCTCCCTCCATCTGAGCCTCTGGATGAAAACTTGCTGGCCCCCACCAAGCCTCTGAGACTTGACCAGCCTCATGGAAACAGTTTCCGGCAGCATTTGATGGCAGCTGTGCTAGCCTGGACTGGGAGCCCAAGTGTGAGGCAGGGAGCCTTGCTTGGCTCTTGCCAAGGACTGGGCGTGCTTCCTTTTCCCAGCATCTTCACAGATAGTGGGTGTCAGATAGCGTCCAGGTCTCTCCCCTGCCACCAGGGCCAGCATCTGTGCCCCAGCTGCTCTGGCTGTCTCCCCTCTGCATTGCTCCCTGGCTTTACCACATTCCTCCATCCCTGTAGATCTCCAAGTTGCTGATCATCTGCCTGAACTGGAAGCTTCGGTCTCACGTTACTGCCCAGCACCTGTGGCCTGATGTCTTTCCCCATATGGCCCCTTGACACCTGCATTTCAGAGGTGGCCCCTATTTCCAGTCCTTGCTCCAGCTCCCTTACCCTGTGAGAGGTGGTCTCGCTCTCAAGTCACACAGTCCTCTCTCAAGGCTCAGCTGTACCACTTACTGTCTTGGTAATATGAGCAAATTAACCTTGGAGAGCTTCACTTTCCCCATCTGTAAACTGGAGATGACCTTAATAGAGTTGCTGGGATGCAGTGAACTCTTCCATCTCAAGATATAGCACAGAGCCAGGCATGTACAAGGTGCTCTTGAACGGAAACGATTCTAGTTTCTGCGGATCAGGAGGCCACTTAAAGACTTGCAGTAATTTCTCGTAGAGGCTGTGAGGGTCTAGGCCCAGCGTGGTGGTGGTGGGAATGACGAGCAGGGGCCAAGCGAGAAGTGTATCTGGAGAGTGGAATGGCAGGGCTTGGCACGGTGTTTAAGGAGTGCGGAGAGGTAGGGCTCCGTGCTGAGCAGAAGGCGCCTTCCCTGCTTCACTAGGAGAATAGATGTGGCGCTCATGGAGATGCTGGATTTATGAGGGGAGTTGGAAGGAGTGTTGGATTCCACTTCTTGACGTGCTGAGTTTCTTGGCAAGAGAAGGACTTCTAGGAGGAATTTTCTAATAGGCATTTGGAAATTTGGAATCCAGGGTGTGGATTTGGGAGCCATTGGCATCCAAGTGAACATGGGGAGGGTGGAGATGCTCTCTGAGGTGGAGTGACAGACGGAGCCCTCAGAGTTGCCCAGTGTAAACCCAACCTCCAGGCTCCTGCCCTCAGTGGTAGCTTGACTCTGGATCCCTGACCACCCTCCTAATCTCTGAATGCAGACCTAGGTTTGGGGATCTGAACCATCTGGAAAGAGCTACAGTAATCTTAATGCTGATTCCCAGCCTCCAAGAGAGGGCTCTTATTCCTGCTTCCTGGTATAATAGCTTGGCCAGGTTTGGGTAATGGCCCTGTTGGTTCAGGTGTGACTCCACCTGTGTCCCCAGGTCACGGTGATCTTAAGAGGAGACAGGGAGCCTGAACTGGTGGTGGGCGCTGTACGAAGCTTCCTTCTGGTATGGCATGGAGACCATCAATCCCTGTGTTCTGACTCAAAAGCCAAAGTTCAGTTCGACATTTACAGCTTATTCTGTGCCAGTTGGCTCCCATCCTTCCTGTCTGATTCTTGACTGCAAAGTTAGCTATGGATGTAAAGATTCTTGGACCTGCAGTCAACTCATTTCCTCACATTTGCTCTCGAGAAATGACAGTAGCAAAAAGATAAGAAAATTGACATTAAAATAGTTAGACATTCCCTACCCCCATTAACTAAGAGTCTTTCTCGTGAGCTCATGTATGAGAAAAGGGGGCCAAATGAGAAGTAGTTGGAGGCAAAATTCCCCATGAGAGAAGACTCTCACTGTGACACCAACTGCAAGGTCAGGGGATTCCCACAACCACTCTCAGGTTTGATAATTTGGTAGCAGGACTCAAAGAACCCGTTGAAAGCTGTTATACCCACAGTTCTGGTTTATTACGGGGAGAAGATACAGATTAAAATCAGCTAAAAGAAGGAAGCATGGAGTTGGTGTGGTCCCTCTCCTGTGGAGTCAGGACATGTTAGTTCCCAGCACTGCGTGTGAGAACATGCTCAGAGCAGTGCCAACCATGAAGGTCATACAAGCCGTGGTGTCCATGGTTTTCATTGGGGCTCTATTACATAGGTGTCATCCACTGCCCAAGTGGTTTGTCTCACTCTCCAGTCCGTTAGGAGGTTGAGCGCCAAGGCCCCCAACCTAAGTCACGTTATTGGTTTAGCACAAAGACAGTCCTATCAGGGTGACATTCCAAGGGCTTAGAGATTAACTCCTGGAAGCCAGAGGGCAAAGGCCAGACCTCCTTTTGGGGAAGAGTAAATTCTTTCCCACACAGCATGAATAAAAGTTAAACAAGGTATGGAACGCTCTTAGACCCACTTTTAACACCTTTCCTCTAACTCGTGGATTCTCTACCAGGAAACACAGATCTAACTCAATGAAAAGTGTCCTGAGATCCCAAGAAGTGATCAGCAAAACAAGCTTACAACAGACCAAGATGAAATTAGCACAGAGTGAGATAAAGGAAAATAAGTAAGCTGTGGCCACAGGCCAGAAAAGATTGTATATAAAGAATAGATGGGGCTTCCCTAGTGTTACAGTGGTTGAGAGTCCGCCTGCCGATGCAGGGGACACGGGTTCGTGCCCCGGTCCAGGAAGATCCCACATGCCGCAGAGCGGCTGGGCCCATGAGCCATGGCCGCTGAGCCTGCGCGTCTGGAGCCTGTGCTCCACAACGGGAGAGGCCACAACAGTGAGAGGCCCGCGTACCACAAAAAAAAAAAAAAAAGCATAGATGGAGAAAAAGATAAGGCAAAATAAATTAAACTTCTCATGGAAAGGTTTGGTCTCCTCAGGGCTGCAAAACCTCCTGAGGGACCCAGCTTTCCAAGGCCCTCCTCCATCACGGGAGCTCTGAGCTAACATTTATTGAGAGAAGCATTTTGACAGTCTCCCTAACCAAGAGTTAATAATTGATGATCATGTACATAAAATTTCACCTGCCACCCTCAGACACAAACGGCCCTGGGCTGCTACCAACCTTCAAGGTTCAGAAGAGTAGGTAACAGATGAAGGAGGATGAAACGTCAGAAATGCAGCTCTTTTAAATAAGAAAGGAATGTTCTGAGGAGTCCTGGGAACTGCCTTTTTGGGGACAGGGTAAGGGGAACAGTTTTAAAGACTTGGAATGAGAAGAGAAAGTGGGTTGATTCCCGAGGATATTATGTTCTTAAGGCTATTTATCAAATGGCAGAGTCAACTGCTCTAATTGCTGTGTCTGGGAAATGTTTTTCCCCTTATGCTTTGGATCCCAATCTTACTAAGCACGTACCTTATGCCACATACTTCCACTTAGTCCTTATGACGAGAGAAAATTTCTCATTTCACAGATGAGGCTATGTCCCTTGCTGCAGGATATGCAGTGAGCAAAACAGGATTCAAACTAGGCTGTCTGATTCCACAGTGACAGTCCCTTTATGATACCTAAGGGTTTGGGAGGAACAGACTCACCTCAGCTTTCCACGACACATCTGTGTGCCAACATCACCTGAATAGAACCAACCCAGCCAAAGAGCAGACAAAATAACATGCTTCCACATCCGTGTACAAAGTTCACATCCTTTATTGATAGCCTCTCATCAGAACCTGTTGACATAGAGAACAAACGTATGGACACCAAGGTCGGGGAAGCGGGGCTGGGGGCGGGGGGTGGGATGAACTGGGAGATTGGGATTGACATATATACACTAATATGTATAAAATAGATAACTAAATAGAACCTGCTGTATAAAAAAAAATTTTTTTAAGAGAACCTACTGACATTTAGTGCGTGTATGTACATCAAATAAATTTGATAGAATGACTTGACAAAGCCCGACTGGAAATAACCCAGGAAGGACGATGAGCTAGTAAAAGTGATAGACACAGGGGAGGAGGGAGAAACGTTTTCATAGTGTGGCACCTGGTACCTGAAGGCCTGTGGGCGCAAGGAAATCTCGGGGCCAGGATCTGCATGGATGCACTAGTGAGTGTTAAAATGGTCACTTTTCCTGCTATATAGCACAAGGAAGTCTTCTCAATACTCTGTAATGAGGTATATGGGAAAAGAACCTGAAAAAGAGTGGAAATCAGTATATGTATAACTGGTTCACCTGGCTCTACAGCAGAAACTAACACAACATTGTGAATCAGCTCTACTCCAATAAAAATTTTTTCGAAACGGTCACTTTTAGGACACGTCACGTACCTGACCTCAGCAGCCCTGTGCGGTGTATGTGGGGTAAGGGTTATATTTTATAGATGGAAACAGTGAAATTTAGGGCGATCAACAGCTTGTCCTTGATGGCACGAGCTGGTACATCACAGTAATGTGAGTAAAGATCAAGTCCTGTAAATTTCCCAGCCATGTGGTTGGGACAAGAAGACAGATATCTAGGAATTGTCCCTAAGGGAGTGGCAGAAATGTGACAGCCAACCTGCTAAAAGAATGTGCAACTGAAACAGGTTATAAAAAGCTCGTTTTAGAGGAGGACGGAATTTGCAAAAATGGATACGGTTTCCCAGAGTAAGGATGTTTTTGAGTGTACATTAGTATGTCATTGACTCTCAAAGTGAGCTTTGCGTTATGGACCAGCAGCCTTACTATAAGGAGACATGTTAGAAATACAAATTCTCAAGCCTCACTTCTCCTCTGAGTCAAAAACTCTGGAGATGGGGCCCTGCGATCTGCGTTTTAACAAGCACTCCTGGTGGCTCCGATGCAGATAGACTGCTGTACATGGATGCAAATCACGTGAAACCTTTTCCCCCGCCTGGCCTTTTGCTCTGACACCCTTTGGCTTCCACCATCTCCCTGGAATGTAGGCTCTGCTTTGTGGCAGATGGCAGGGTTGGTGGCCGTGGGGGGTGGACAGAGTGCTGCACTTGATTCTGGAGACCTGGGCTGACTGCTTTATCACTTCCTGGCTGTGTGACTTTGGGCCAGTCAATTGGCCTCTCTGTTTTTTTCATCCATGAAGCAGAGTGATTACCTACCTCACAGACTTGTGTACACTGAATTAAATACTAAATATATGCAAAAGTGGCCAACAGCGTCTGGCACTTAGAAAGACGTTCAATCCAGAAAGCCCATCTCTGATCCCTGAGGAAGCCACATTGAAATGGAGCCTTGGGCTGTGAGAGCTGCAGTGCTTTATTCCCCTCTTTATATAGGGTGAGATAAGGAGGCAACCAGAGAGGAGGAGGAAATTAAGGGACTGGCTCCATGAGGGGTTGGCAAACTGTGGCGCTTGGGCCTAATCTGGCCTATGCTTATTTTTGTACATCCCTTTAACAAGGGATGGGGTGTGTGTGTGTGTGTGTGTGTGTGTGTGTTTAATATTTTTTGGCTTGTCTTTAATTAGACTTAGCTCTTATGCTTTTAAAAGTGGAATCAATCAGAAGGTAAGGGTGTAAGGGAATAATTTTCCAATACATTTCTTGTAAACTCAAATTCTTCTTTGGAATAAAGCAGGCTTTGGTTTACTGTTCACAAGGTTACTTGTGAAGAAATTACCCTCTTCAATCTGGGCTGCCACAATTGGACAGAAAGCATGAGGACGCTTTTTTCTTGCATCTGGGTTTTTATATTTTAAGGGTTGAAAGAAAAAGAACGTGCTGTGTGAAAATTACATGAAATTCAAACTCTAGTTTCCACAAATAAAGGTTTATTGGAACACAGCCAACCTCGTTCACTTGATATTGTTTGCGGCTGCTTTTGTGCTACAACAGCGGAGTTGAATAGTTGTGACTGAGCCCATATGGCCGTCAAAGCCTAAAGTATTTGCTAACTGGCCCTTTACAGAAAAGGTTTGCTAACCCCTGGGCTACATGGAAGATAGAGAATAGAGACAAGAAATGATGCGGAAGATGGTGGTAAATAACAAACGTTGCTGAGCTCTGCCAGGCACTGTTCTAAGCATCTCTCATGCATTATATCTTTTAATTCTTAAAACAACACGTATGAAGCAGGCATATCGTTACCCCTATTTTTCATGTGGGAAAACTGAGGCTTATAACTTGCCCAGGGCCACAGAGCCCATAGGTGGAGGAGCCAGGATTTGAATTGAGGTCCAGCTGCCTTCCCAGCCAAGCTTGTGACCACTGCGCCGTCCTGCCTCATGGTGCTGGTCAGGTTAAGAGAGGTTTAGGGTCTCTGAGCTGCTCCAGGCAATAGATGGAGGGCAGGGTGGTAGCTGGCTGAAGGGGGACAAGGGTGCCTTGTAGTATGATGAAAACTCAGGGTGATTAGATTTTGAAATCTTTATGTAGCTCGTTTAATGGAAAGAAGAAAGGCAGGCAGGGAGGAAAAAAAGCCCTTATCACAGCAGATACCTTGGGGCTTAAATCATGTTCTCCCCTTTGCGCAGCACCAACAGCCATGGAAAAAGTGCTTATCGATGTCTCCCTCTCCGGGTCTGTTAATTAGCCCAGGCTGCTGATGAGGAGAGGTCATTCTGGGCCCACGTCAGGCTTATAAAAGGGGAATGCAAGTTAGTGAGTCAGGACTGGACAGGAGAGTTCTGTGGCCTTTTTGTCTGTAAAATAAGAATGTCAAGAACAATTGTTTCTTCATTACTGTGAATGTGAGCCTTGTGTTTTCAAAGGTCAGCGCCTGTGAGCACATCATGGTTTAGAGTGGGTTCCTATGGTAATTAGACCATCGTGACTGAGGGCATTTTGTGTCAGGCAACGGAGTGCTGGAGTTTCGTCTTTCTGTGCAGTACGTGCTTGTTTCCTGCAAACGTAACCATTTCTGTTTTCCCCCCTTCTTGTTTTCATCCTTTGTGCGCCACATGTAGTTCTGGAGTCAGAGAATTCCTCAGCAGGTATGATTTCTCTTGCATCCTTTCTGTCCCTGCCTTCCACCAGGAACCCTTCAATTAGAGGGGAACCCTTCAATTAAGAGGAGAACCAGGGAGTGTTCCTGTGAGTGAGGGGTTTCTTCTTTTTTTCATCTCTCAGATGAGTGGAGGCTTCCTTCCAATGCTGATGCCAATGGAAACGCCCAGCCCTCTCCACTCGTTGCCAAGGGCTACCGAAGTGTGCATCCCAACCTTCCTTCGGACAAGCCTCAGGTAGGTGGGCGCCCAGGGCGGGGTGGGGACTGTTCTTGAGTCGTTCAGCTTTTTGCACTTGTGACTTCCTGCTCGCCCAGCTGGATGACGGACTGGCTTCTGAGTCCCACTTTTGGCCAATTCTGAAAAAGCCCCGGGAGGACCAGAGTTAGGGAGAAGTTGGGGTCAAGGGAAGCAGATGTATGGGATGAGGCTGGCCTGTACCAGGGTATCAGAAGCATAAGCCCAATATTCCGTAGGTTTGAAACGTGTGTGGAAATGTTCTGAAAGAGGGAATGCCAGGTGGGAAAAAGGTCTGAGCCTGTTTTATGAAAACTCTTTAGAGCATAATATTCAGAAGGCGACTGCACTCTTGTGTTTATTTCATTAATTTGCTCGTGTTGAGGCTGTAAGAGTTTCAGCAGCTCCGTCCTTACAGATTAAGATCAGGGAGCTGTGGCCAGCGCGGAATCCAGCAGCCTAGAAGCAGGCAGAAGCCAGAATGGCAGTACAGCGGACTTTACACTGCCTAGCGCTACCCTACGAAAGAAAGTGTGCCCCACGTTGTACAACTTGCAGTGGAATAATTCTGCTTAAGTTTTCCCCCTACGTTGTTTTCCTCATCTTTCTTTCTTCCCCTTCCTGTTGGCTGCACCCTGCAGCTTATGGGATTTTAGTTCCCCAACTAGGGATCAAACTCAGGCCCTGAGCAGTGAGAGCGAGGGTCCTAACCACTGGACTGCCAGGGACTTCCCTGCTTTGCCATCTTGACGAAACTAATAGACCCTGTTTTAATTCAGGCAATCTGTGAAGAGTGTTTTTATAGAGCGGAGTAATATCCATGGAACAGAGCAATCCTTTCTTTTAAAAAGAGCTGCGCTGCTCAAAAACGGCAGAAATGTGTTCCCTACGCAGTCCACCTCCCTGCGCCCGCCTGCCTTCTGTGCACATGCTCTCACAACTCGCAAGGAGCCTGGGGAATCCACGTGCCTTCCTTGTTCCCACCCCCGCTTCTCCGATAATCCTCTGGGTTCTGCTCGTGAGGACATAAAATTGCGCTCGTCCCTGGAATGAAACCAAGTCCGAGATGATGCCTTCCTTCCCCTTTGCAGACCCTTGTCTCCCAGGCTTAGAGGAGGTTGCTGAATCGTGTGCCAAGGCAGCACTACTCAGCCTCCCCGCCCCTACCATGGCCTGTCTCCTGTAGCTACTGCCACGTGCATGCGGGGCCGCTGGTCAGGGCCAGGAGCTGTGAATGGGCCTGGCCTCCTGAAGTCCTCATTAGACTCGGGATGTGGGAGGTCTGTTGTCTGGTAAATGACTGGCCATAGTTTCCCTGTTTCTAAGACCTTTCCCAGCATCTAAGTCTGCTGCTGGTGGCAGGCACACTTCCTTCTTGGCGTTCTCGAGGTTGGATACAGTTGGCTCTATATCCAGGGTAGGAAATAGTTCTGATTAATTCAAGGCAAGTATAGAAGCACATCCTCTTCCACTATCAGGGACTTAGCCCACAGGGTAGCTCACTAATTCCTTTTGGCTTCTTAAATAGCTCTTCTACGGAGAGAATTTTAACAGCGTGTGAAGTAAATAAAAATCCCTTTTAAATACATGTACTTACAGCAACTTTACTGAGCGTTTGTTGTGTTTGGATCACTGTGTAAACATTGCCCTCAAGGCGTGTGTAAGGGCGAGCCTCATAACAAGGATAATCGTCCTGTAATGTGGGCTACGCATAGTGTATGCATTTTCTCATCGGTCACTATCCGGGAATTTTCTTTTTACCTGGGTGTCTGAAAAGATACCTGGCATATTGCTGATGTAGAGGTGTTATTCTATATATTCAGTGTAAAACTGGCCACCCAACTTTCAAGAGGCTTGAGGTCATAGATTCATTTTGTGAACGCAAAAATGACTTCTTGTCTCTGTAGCTATTGCCAGAGCTGTAAGTATACGCTGGCTTAGACAAAGCCAAGGTGGGCTGGGCTGCTCTCTGCTCTGGCTTGGTTACAGATGAAGACAGCTCTCAGACACCTGCAGGCCTAGCATCCCCTCCTAAGGATTGAGTTGGAGTCCGGGACACACGGGCCAGAGGGGAATCCTATCTCCTGATGCTCCCACGTCTGCCTTTCCTCCTGCTGCCCTGCTCTCCTCACCCGCAGTGACGCGGAATCAGGGCTCTCCCCTCTCTGACAGCAGCATCTTGGGGATCCCCAGTGGAGGCAGGGATTGATAGTTTCTGGAACTGTACATACTAGGAACATGTCAGATTCTTCAAGCAGCCCCATTTTTGTCACCACCCCATCTTCTAAAAAGATAAATGGGATTTCATTAGTGGCCAGCTGGGGAGGAATGCCAGCTGCTTATATGGTTCCCACAATGTTTACAATAAAACAGAAAGTAGTTCCTTACATGTAAAGTGACTGTGCCTATCCCCCTCCTTCTCTAGAGCTCAAAGGAGCCCCAGGACAGGAAGGCCTTGGCTCTGAGTGCGTTGTCAACACTCTGGGGAAGCGTCCTCTCTACAGGGTCAGAGCCCTGGGAAGCCTCAGGCCTGTTATAATGCAGCCCTGGCACCTTATATGGCCACAGCCAAATTAAGTTAAAAAGTCATTGAAACCGATTTCTATCTTTGGGCAAGAAGAAATCACATGTGGGACACTTGAGCTCGAAGTAAAAGTAAATTTGAGCCTAACTCAAAATTGCCTTTTACTTACCTCCCTGGCAACCATCGTCAACTTACCCGCAGTCCCTTTGGCGCGTGCTTGGTCAAGTGTTTTGTTTCTGGAGAGCATCGTTTTAGTCTGTGAGTACACCCCAACCTCCAGCCTAAGTTCACTGAAACCGAGAGTACATCTGGATGGTTTTGCTCCTACTAATGACTGAAGATACATTTTGTATTTTTGGCTGGTACACATGGCCACATTCCACTGGCAGTGTCCTGGGCACCCTGTGGAAAGGATAGGCATCAAGTTAACCTAGCTTGCTGAGGGATGGGCTGTTTACTGTCTCTGGGTTAATATTCTAGTCCAGACTCATACTTTATTCTCACTTATTTACCCTCACTAGCATCCCTTCCCCCTTGCTGCCTGCACTCCACAAAAAATAAAAATAAAATAGGCCCACACCCTTGCATCCTCCCAGTTTGGGGTCACAATCCATTTGCCATTTATCAACCAAACTCTAATGTACTTTACCTGTGCAATTTAGCAGAAGGTTCTCATTTTCTTCTCATACTGGGCTATCTTTAAAGAGAGGGCCAGTGAAGAAAATCTAGGTGTCTTAGGCTGCTGTAAGAAAGTATCAAAGACAGGTGATTTAATCAACAGACATTTATTTCTCACAGCTCTGGAGGCTGGGAAGTCCAAGATCAAGGTGCCAGCCTGTTAGGTTCCTGGTTAGGGCTCTCTTCCTGTCATGTAGACACCTGCCTTCTCACTGTGTCCTCACCTGGTGGAAAGACAGGGCTCTGGTCTCTCTTCCTCTTCTTACAAGGACCCCTATCCCATCATGGGGTCCCACCCTCATGACCTCATCTAACCCTAATTACCACCCACAGGCCCCATCTCCAAATGCCACCACTTGGGGTTAGGGGTTCAGCTTAAGAATTTGAGAGGTCACACATCCAGTCCATAACATTAGGAAGATAAACGTATCTTACTTGATTCCAAGTTGAGCCACAGGTTGACAGGCGGCTGTCCTTGAAATGAGGATCATCTGGAGATTTACCCCATTTCCTGACCCTCTGCCTCGCTGAGACCCAGGGAGGAGCGAGGGGCTGTGTTGAGGGAGAGGGCATGAGGTGGGAACTACAGTTTTCTAGCTCTGAGCCTGGAACCAGAGCTTTGGGCTTAAACCATGAGCCTGAGGCTGATCACCCCCTTTAGGATTGTCTGTGCCTGGTGGGCTGGGTGGGAATGAGGAATGGTCTGGAATTTGGTGAACAGGCACCGTCCAAGCCAGTCAGATGCTTCATTGCCTGGTCTCTTTGTTCTGGGTGCGTCAAAAATGGGAGACTGCATGCTTTTAACCTCATGCCTGTCTTCCTTCTAATAATTAGTTCCATCACATTGTTTCCTCTGAGACAAGACGTGCAGATTCTAAGTCCTTAGCTAGCATTCTCTTCTTGGTGAGTTTTAAGTTGTTATGCTTATGGAACTGATGCTAAATCTTAGTGACTCAATTAAGATGGCTGCCTCCTGTGAACACCTAAGGATGATTCTTCCAGTTGTCCGTTTCCTGAGGGAAAAGAATGGAAGACACTCGAGTTGGAGGGAACTTAAACTTTTAAAGCTGAAGGTACAAAGAGGAAAATCTTTGCGGTCTGGAGAAAACTGGGGCCGCTGGGGCTTCTTCCGCTGGCGTTTAACCCTTGGGCACCCTTCTTGGGTCAGGAGGTCTCAGACGGTACAGGTCAACCCAGGACTCGTGTCAACCTGACTTAGCACCTGGGCTGAGCTCAGCCTCCCTGTGATGTAAAGGAGAGTCAGGCCTGCCTCTCCAGGTGAGTAGGAGTCAGTCCTTGGCTTTACCGCAAGGAAAAATGTACGGGCCATGAGGAATCTAAGCTGAGGATTTGCTTAAAAACGTGTCCAGAGTTGTTTTTTCTTCAGGTCGTGTTGTGCTGTTTCTAATGGTCATCCTTCTTTCCATTTCCCCTCCTCTTTCTTTCTTTTTATTGTCTTAAAAATACTACCAAAGGTCCTCTCTCCCCGGTGCCCTCCTCTCCCTCAAGAGGACTGCTTTGCATGGCAGCCCCCCGGCACCCGCAGTTCCTTCAAGGACTCCCTTTACCTGAGCTCACCAAAGCCATACGGCCCACCCGGCACCCCCAGCCAGCAGAACCCCTCACGACCCCGGCCCGTCTCCGTCCCCCTGGCAGCCAGATCAGCGCCCGAAGGTGTGCCGTGTCCTGGGCCCTCACTTCCGGGTTCCACGCTCCCCAGTGCTTGGTCCCACCCCCAGCAGTGCTGTGCAGCTGCCAGGACAGTTTATAGAGAGAATGTGAGCTCTAACCCACGTCATGAGGCAGTTGGGAATAAAAAGGTCAGCAGCTTATATGTACCTTGTTTATCCCGTAACATTCGCCCCGTGGCATCGGCAAACCTCTCTGGTGTTGCACGTGACCCAGACAAAGGCACTCCCTTGGAAGCTGCGGGCACTCGAGCACGGGCTCCCAGCATTGCCTCCTGCACAGCCGGCGCGGGGAAGCCACCCTCTGCTCCTTCTCCTGGCCCTCCCAAGCTATTCTCTGCCATCCGTAAGGATGCCATTAGCCGTGGCGAGAGTCCTTCCCCGGGGACTCGGCCTTCATCAGCAGACGCAGTGAGACCACCTGTGCTAGGCCCCCAGGTTACCTCTGATCCCGAAAACCGGAAGAGAAAAGAACCTTACCTTTTGCAGCCCTGTTATCCAGCCAAGGCAAGGAACTAGGAATGTTTGTGTGTCTCCTACACCGTCTCTTTCGAAAACTCGTGCGAGCAGCTTGTTTGTTTTCTGGGCTGCCCTACCTCCTTTCCCCGTGAACGGTGCTGCAGCTTGAGGCGCAAACCCTTCTGTCTCAGCATCTCAGCACAGTCCTCCCTGTGTCTCCCCGCCTCTCTTTTCTATAAATACGTAAGTATGCTGGAGCCTAGAATCCGGAGACTAATAATATGGTGAACTATTCTGTTACATGTGTTTTGTAACAAGGTGCCAAAGAGACTGTATTTACTCCCAAGCTTTCAGGCTCTGCAAGCAGTTTTGGGGTTAAACACAGCCTGCCTGCCTGTTCTGTTGTTCTCTTTTTCTCAAGTGTTAAAAGGACTCAAAAATAGATGGGTGGAAAGTAAACTTGGATGGGGTTCCCTCTGTGTCATAGTGTCAGGAGGCCAACTGGCTAGCACTGACTGTCTCGTGTACTCTGAGGAAAGGGCACTGATTAAATATTTCTCAGCGTACATCACTGCATGTCCGCTCTCAGCTGTTTAAATATGGAATTCCTTCTTCCCTGCTGTACCCCTTTACGTAATGACCCCCTTATTTCCTACAGGATGCCACTTCCTCCAGCCCAGCCCAGCCTGAGGTAATAGTTGTCCCTCTCTACCTGGTTAACACTGACAGAGGGCACGAAGGCACTGACAGACCTCCAGCATCTCTGGGGCCCCACGGCCCCCCGGTCCCGGCGGCCGTCCCTGCCGGCTCACCTCTGACCTTGCCGACTCTAGACGATTTCATTCCCCCTCATCTGCAGAGGCGGTCTCACCACAGCCAGCCAGCCAGCACTCCTGGCTCCCTCCCCCCCGTTAGCCAGACACCGCCATCCTTCTCACCACCGCCTCCGCTGGTCCCTCCGGTCCCCGAGGGCCTCCGCAGAATCTCGGAGCCTGGCCTCACGGGAGCTGTTTCGAGTACCGTAAGCTTGCTAGATCCCCTTCCTCACAGCCTTCCTGAATGTCTGCTCCCGGCAGTAAAGAGAAAAAAAAAAAAAGAAAAGAAAGAAAGAAAACCCCAAAATCCCTTTCTCACTCAAGTACTAAGTTCTGAGAGAGATGTTGGCTGCCCTGTGCTTGTGTGATGACGGGACCCGTGTTTGCTTTCACTAGAGCATGCCTCCCCTGTGTGTTCCGTGGGCCCCTTGTGGCTGTCCAGCAACCTCTCTAGACCCTCTTCCTCTCTGTCCTGTTTGGAATGCACATCTCCCTGCAGAGCAGACCACCTCTGTGGCTTTCCTTTGGCTGGCTGTGCTCCTCGTAGGCCAGGCAGATGTAGTGCGGAGAGCAGAGGAAACCTGAGGAATTGTGTGGAAAAGCCATCAGTAGGCATGGTGCTAACTGTTTTTCTAACAGGGAGCAGGGAGGTTCTAGGGGAGGGAAAGATTCACTCGTGCTGAGTTTGCAAGTAAGCAAACTCTCTTTTATATACAGCAATGGCAGAGAGTGGGTTTAAAAAAAAGTTTAATTGAGCAAATGGATCTACAAGCCTGGTACAAGCATTAGCACTGTTTCCTCAAAAGGCAGAAATTTGCTGGGGCCCCTGCAGGGTGGCTGCCAGGGGCTTTGGAGGCAAAACAGTACCTGCCCCAGTGGTCATGGGAAGTTAGAGTGTCCCGACACTTCAGGTCCTGTCCTGCGAGGGACGAGGCCCCATCGTAATGGGAAAGCCCAAGTGCTTTAGAGGAAAGGCCAAGTCAAAGGGCTCAGTCTGTTCTCCCCTCAGGAGCCCTGGGAGCTGAGAGACTGCAAGAACCTCAGTGTGAGTCGTAGAATGGGGACGCACGGATCTGTCGGGGCTGTGGGTGCAGTGGGACTGAGTACGCAGAAGTTTCTGATACAGGGCTTGGCATGCAGAGAGTGCCCAGTAACTGTTAGCTTTGGGGCTGAGGAGTTGCCCTAGCAAATGGACCAGAGCTCCTCAAAAATAAGTGGCTGACTAAGTAGCAGTTCATCATTGAGTTCCTGCCACGTTCTGGTTTTCCTGCTAGATCCTGTGGGCACAGCTGTGAACAGGATTTATCTGAGTGGTGTATTGGTGCTCAAGTGTAGCGTACATGGGATCCTCTGAGGTTATACTCCTTGAGTTTCTTATTGAGTGGGTCTGGGGAGGGGCCGAGGACTGAGATGTGGTAACAGGCATCCTGGGGGATTCTGACACTGAGGATCTGTGGACCACATTTTAAAACGTAGCAACCTAGTGGGCCATGCAGTTGGCTGCTGGAATTAAACGTTCATTGACATCCCTCTGCGGAAAGAGGTATGCCTACAAAACTGGCTCCAGTGGCTCATTAAACTGAAGCCAGTCACACAGAAAGCGGGAAGGAAACTTGTTTTTTGACTTGTAAAAGAAATTACAGTGAGATATCAGGCACGCCAAAGCTGGGAAAGGCTACATCCTGGGCGGGGTCCTCTTCTCTAATCTCTAGGTACAGCACATCACGGTTAGGTGAGGACCTGGCCAGATGTGGCCCAGGGGCTTTGGATATCCTAGCTTTGAGCTTGTCCACTCAGCCCTGTTGGAGGAAGGTGCCAGATTGTTCGCTGATGCGTTCTCCTCAATTTGTAGGTGCTCAATTTGTAGGTGCGTTTAGAAGCCGCTCTTGTTTTGGAGAGTACAGGCACAGAAGGTTTCTCTGGAGCGTCATGTAAAGCACATCTTATTTTTAGTGCACTAGTAGCTTTCTTGTGTACCCTACACTTTGTCATTTGCATCGATCTAGATTTTCATATTGAGTTTGTCTCATGCGTGCCAGGACAGATGAGTTGGGACAGTGTCCTCAATTTCTCAAACCTGTTTGGTCAGCCTGGTACTGACTTCCCAGGAGGACTTCCTTTGGCCCGATAACTTCTGGTTTGGCCCTGGGTACAAACAGTAAGAGGTGAAAAAGGAAACTGGTTGGATTCCTGCAATGAGTGAGAATTGTCAAGAGGAACAGGAGCCCCTGTGGATGGTGGCCAAGCCACAAGTTGATATCTGCTCCATCTGCAGGAATTGGAGAGTAAGAGGGAAGAAAATTCATGTTAATTGATCCAGGTTCTTTTAGCCAATAGCTATTTTTGTGATGTTCCCGAGATAAGATTTACACCAGAGTAAAATTTGTGAGATGCTTAATGCTCACACGATCCATCCAGGCATTTATACTTTACGGAGCTGTATGCCTGATTTTTTGTGTGTTTCTTGGGGGCATTGTGGCAGATTTATCTTTATTACATCACTTCGGAAGTCAATTAGGAAAAGTGTAATTGCTTTTCCACTATACCAAAGAAAAAGTTGAGATGAGGCACTTTTTGAACAAGATCATATTGTGCCTCTTGAGTCTTAGGGAAAGGTTTTATTTACTAAACTGAGCTGCCACTCATAATTAACAGCGATGACATTAGGGCACTTTCAGAAGAGGTGAGCTGACCAAGCCAGTGTTTGTTTGTTTGTTTGTTTGTTTTTGTTTGGTTTTTTTTGGTACGCGGTATGCGGGCCTCTCACTGCTGTGGCCTCTCCCATTGCGGAGCACAGGCTCCGGACGTGCAGGCTCAGCGGCCACGGCTCACGGGCCCAGCCACTCCGCGACATGTGGGATCTTCCCGGACCGGGGCACGAACCCGTATCCCCTGCATCGGCAGGCGGACTCTCAACCACTGCACCACCAGGGAAGCCCCAAGCCAGTGTTTTTAAAGGAAGCTCCTACTGTGTGTCAGGAGCTGTCCTGGGTCCTGACACTCACATCCTCTCTTTTGGTGGGCACGTGTTCTCTTGCTACAGAGGTTGTTCAGAGACACCTTTGCTGGTAGACGACTCCTGTCAGCCATGTGGCATTTACTGAGCACGCGTGGTCTGCAGGGCATTGTGCTAGGTGCAGGGGGAAGAGGAGGAAGGGAGGCATAGCCCTTGTCCTGCAGGTACTTACAGAGCAGTTGGTCTCTGGTGGCACACACTGACTGCTTCGAGCTACACTTTTATCTAGAAGGTTTTGTTCTTCAGACCTTTGGGGAATGACATTGTGGCTTTGGGGTGTGTAAACTTCAGAATAGAAACTTGGCAAACTTTATAGGCGTGATAGAGGAAACTGTCTACATATCTTTACTACGTCTTGAGGTGCTATTTTCATGTGTTTAAAAAGACTGCTATTATTCCCATCATGCAGATTATAATGTTAGTAGTAATAATTTTATTGGTATTTCTGGTAGACACCTCAGGATTTCCAAGTCAGGATTTTCATAAGTCTTTACTTCAGAGATCTTTGTCAGTCAATATTAGAGTGAGAAAATGTCACAGTACGACAAGATAATGTCCAGATCTCAGAAGTGCGTGCTAGTAGGGTCGTTCAGTGGTGTAGGTAAGAGTAGCTTTCCAAGAGTTCCAGTGCTTAACTCTTCCCTCTTCTTACGTCAATGGCTTCTCATCCTCACAATGTCTCGTGTTGCTCTAAACAAGTACTAAACTTTCCTGATTTTCCCCAATTAAACCACCTTTTGTTCTCAGATTGCACTGGGGATTGCATGAGTTTTGCATGTTATGCTTCTTCGAATTTGCTTTTTCAGTAACCGGATTGAGCCACAGTTATGACCAGATGAAAATAATGAATGACGTTGCTGAGACTTCGAGTAACAGTCACCTTCCTTCTCTCCCTTTACTAATCCCAACAAAGAGAATAAACATTCCAGATTAAACTTATCTAACTGGAATTAATATGTCTCACTGGTTACATTTCTTTTTATAATTAAGGTCCTTGTAAAGCTTTAAATCTCTTCTTTTTAAAAAGTGGTACCTCTTGGTTTCACGTAGTTGCAGTGAGTGACAACGTTTGTTTTCTTTTCAGGACTCAAGTCCTCTACTAAATGAACTTTCTTCATCGCACGTTGGAACTGATTCCCAGACCTTTGCACCAGTTAGCAAGCCATCATCTGCCTACCCCTCCACGACAATTGTCAATCCTACTATTGTGCTCTTGCAACATAATCGAGGTAAGGGATCTGCAAGGAGCACCCCGCCCCCAGCCGGCTGGAATCAGCCATAGCTGCACTGTGACATCTGGGGCAAGGATTCTGCCATTCCACAGCATTTTCTACAAATCCCATCCTTCCCCGAGGCCATCTGCCCCAGTTTACTCGCTCCCACGACCCACAAAGTAGATCACAGCAGCAGACAGAGGCCCCTGTCTGGGCATGAGGTCAGGTGTCTGAATAAGTAAGTAGGTGACGTGTGTCCCACAGCCAGGGTATTCAGTTTTCTTCAGATGGGAGCTCCAAAAAGAAAGAAAAGACAGAAAGGAAAACATCTGCCCCTTAATTACCGTCATGAGAGTTCTCGTCAGGGCTCTGCTAGGAAAGTCCAGGTGCAGTAATACCTCTTTTAATTACTGTCCTAAATCCTGTAGTTCTGTGACATGAATTTTCTAGAAAGTAAACTTTTGAGCACCAAAATTAAAAAAAAAAAAGGAAAACCTACTGGATGGGAAATTTTCTAGAATAGAAAACATGTTTTTGTATCTCTGAAACAGAGGCTTTTGAACTTTTTCTTAGTGACTCATGGCCTTCATTCTCTCCAGAAGTCACTGCACTGGGCTTTCCCTCAGTGGCGCCCTCTGGGGACTTGACGTTGGTGTGGCTTCTTGCCCCTTGCCCTATGTGGCCCCCGGTACGCGGGCCTCTCACTATTGTGGCCTCTCCCGTTGCGGAGCACAGGCTCCGGACGCGCAGGCTCAGCGGCCACGGCAGAGGGTTTTCGTGTTTGTTTTCTAGAGTTTCTCTGACTGCTGCTGGTTGGTTCTTCCCTTTCTCTGAAGGGGTGTTATAGGGGAAACGGAGCGCGTTGAGGTAGTAATGATATATGTTGACCCTTCTGCTTTAAAATCCCGGAAGATGATTCTAAGTCCCAAGTTTTCCTTTTTGAAATTCCATAGAGGAATAAACGTCCCCTTCTCAAAAGTCCTTTGCGGAGTGAAATGTAAAGTCTTCAAGCAGTTTCCTAGTGTAGAAAGGGGCTCTTGAGTCTGAATTTCAAAGAACGGTGGAGGTTTAATTATTTTATTTAGAGCTCAGAGCTCGGTACCAAATCTTCCTTTTCTTGACTCCCTGCTCGCCTACTTCATACTTTTCCTCCCCTCCCCTCCCCTCCCTCTCTGTATTGACTTGGATGAGAATGGGACTGGAGTCTATTTTTAATTGTTTTCCGTATTAAATGGAGTTTTCTATTTCCTGCCCCAAACTTGAAAAGCAGATGAATGAAACATTTTCTCTCACAGCCATCCCACTCAAATCATAGTTATTTTAGTAATTTTGTTTTTTTTCATTCTGTGTGGTTCCCATATTAATTTTCACCCATGAATCTATGTTCTTCAAAAGATAGAAGGGCCCCACCCCCTACACTGAGCTACGTAAGAGCCCGTTTTCCTTTCAGCAGTGCCATCCCCCTTGCTGGCAGTAGCCTTCTCTGCCCAGAAAGTGCCCATAATGCAGGACAGAGTGAAATGCTGGTTCTCTATGAAATTCTTTATGACTCATCTTTTTAAAAAACCCACTCAAAGAGAAGCAAGTTAGTTCCCAGAAGGAAGGGCAGTTTACTCCCAAGGCCGCTTGGTTTTTGGGAAATGCCAAGTGTAATGCCAGCTACTTCTGGTGGCACCTAGTGAGACTTTTTTGGGCACAGAAGTGCCTGTGCTTCCTTCTTGCTTCTTCCCTGAACAAATGGAGTCTTATTTGCTCAGATGCCTTTGGTTCTTGCCTTTCTCTTTTGTCCAAGTCCTGCCTTTGGGCTTAAACATCAGAATCGTGCAGCCTGAATCACACGTCCCTCAGGAAAGGGTTCAAGTACTTTGCCGTTTGGAATTAAAAGGTAGCTTCCCCTACGCTCCTTAAGGAGGCGGGAAGAGTTGAGGAGCACGGAAACGCCCAGTGCAACTGACTTTGGATCACTAATCATCAACTCACTTTAGGTCAGGCATTTTTGGCTTCGCTTTGGAATTTACCCAGCCTGACAGCCCTGCTTTGCCTCACAAAACGTACCCGTGAAAACAATTTAACTATTGCGAAGTCTCCTGAGGGAGTGATAACTCTGCTCCACTTCTAGAATTCTAGTTTAGTCATCGTAAAAAAGGTTCCCGTTGTTCCTGCCTAGGCTGCCCCAGGGTGTAGTGCGACAATAACCCTGTCTCCCCAGTTCAGGCCCCCCTACTGCAAACAAACGGAGGGGCACTGCGCCTCTGGCCTGGCTCTCACAGTTGTGTAAACATAGCCCTTGCCCCTCTCTCTGGAGCTTTCCGTCCCTCATGTGTTTGAGGGCAGATGGCTTATGATCAGTCTGGGGAGGAGGATTTAAACTGGAAAACTCTCAGGACTGAGAGTGCACGGGTGGTTCTTGGTCTCCAGTGTGCATAGCATGCTGGGAGTCACATTCAGGAGGTCTTTGGCGGGGAGGCATGGGGGAGAAGCTCTGCATTTTTCAGCACGCTTGCAGGGCAAGTCCATGGACCACATGAAGGACAGGAGTTCCCCGCAGTCCCAGACTTCTAGATCTCATGGTCACGTGAAACGGCCTGGGGACTAGCCTGGGGTTGCTAATTTCTAACTAAATAACACTCTTGAAAAACAACCACTGTGATCTACACTGCATGCATCTCTTTCTATGAAGGAAAGGCTATTCCACACCTCAGAAGTGCGATACCACATAATCTTTTCAACTGAATAAATTAGCTTTTGATTGCTAGGGAAGGCCTTGCTTCCAGCTTGGAGACTAGCGTTTGGTTACCATAGATCCAGTGAGCACTTTGATTTAACACACAAGGAAACTGAGGCTGAGACGTTAAGTGGTTGGTCAGTGCCATCTGGCAAGTTGCTGGCAGAGCTGAGCCTAGGGCTCTGCTGGGCTTCTGTGGTACAGCTAGTGTGAACCTTGCCCACGTGCCCGACGTACACAGGGCGGCTTCCACCAGCTGCGAGCTGCCCTGCTGCTCTGTTTACTTCTCGCCACGCTGGTTCTGGAGGGAGGGTGGGGATGCTGCCAAGGGGGACGATGACAGCACCCTTGGGCTGGCAAGTGTTCTATTTTTATACATGTGGCTGCTTTATATTTAGCAGCTGTAGAAGGTAAAGGTCATGTCTGTGCTTATCCCAAAGCACATACGCACAGAACTCTCCAAAGGAGATGCTGGCCTCCCCACCGCGAGACTGCCCAGGAGGGTGGGAAACCAATGGACCTCCCACTGTTAAGGAACCAGTGGGACCTGCTGATTAGAGTTGGAAAGAAACCTGGGGGACCCAGGTTCTAGACGCAGCTCTGATTTTCAGTGTCATCTTGGGTAGTTTGTGCCCCTTATGTGAGGTCTCTCAGCCAGTGCTGACCTACCTGCTAGAGTTACTGCGAAGATGAAAAGCGTTCACACACGTGAAAGCTCTTAAAACAATATCTGGCATTTCACAAGCTCTCAGATGGTAGCTGCCATGGTTATGATTACATTCCCTCAAAAGGTACCAAGACTGGGGTGTATAAGGTCCTGCTCCCTTGAGACCAGGGGAGCTGAGGGCCTCCTTCAGTGATCAGATCACTTTAAGAGGTAAACAACCATAAAACAGTGATTGTTCCCTGAATCCTGGCACGAATCTAGGGGGAGAGGGACAGGAGACACCACACCCAGATGATGAAGCCACATTAATATCCCTGTATGCAGCTGGACTACACAGCATTTTAGCATCTAAGCCCAGAGGACAGTAAGGACACAGCTTTGGGGATCCTAACGAGTTATGCCAGGACTTCTTGGTCTTACCATGTCTGTGTAAATCTCACTTACACTGTGTTTTTTTTTTGTTTTTTATCACAGAACAGCAGAAACGACTCAGTAGCCTTTCAGGTAGGTGAGAAATATTTATTTACATACTAACGTGTTCCTGCTAAAGCCATCTTCTGTCCACCACCTGATGTGTTCAATCAGTGAAGTCTTGCGAGCTTCTCTGATGTGTTGGGAACTGCTTATTGCTGGCTGCAAGGATGATCAAAACAGGCATGGTTCCTGCCTCCCTGGAACTTGAAGGCTGGTGGGGGCACACTAGTGGTGCAAACTAGTAAACGTGTCCAGTGGGACAGTGACAAGTGCCTTGATCGGTAAGAACTGGCTATTCTGAATAAAAAGGACAAGGAGCTATGCTTTGGATGGAGTGCTCCTGGCCAGCATCATTGAAGAAGCTACCTTCCTATTGCTTCTGTGTCTCTTCTAGGGTGTGACAATCTGGGGTTGGGAAATGTGGATCAGTTCTCTCCTTTTTGGGTGGCAAACCCAAATGCCAATAGATGACCCTGGGATGATGGACCAAGGGGAGAGCCTCCAGACCAGCAGTGCCTGGAAGAGGGTTGGGGAGCACAGCTTCTTGAACTTGAGCTGGCATCAGACCCTCCTGGAGAGCTGGCCAAAGCCCAGATTCCTGGGCCACACCTCCAGAGTTTCGGATTTCATGGGTATAGGCGAGAAGTTGCATTTCTTTTTTCTTTTTTTTAATATTTATTTATTTATTTGGCTGCGTTGGGTCTTAGTGGCGGCATGAAGGATCTTCGTTGCGGCACGTGGACTCCAGGGTTCTCTATTTGTGGTGTGCAGGCTCAGTAGTGGTGCACGGGCTTAGTTGCCCCACGGCATGTGGGATCTTAGTTCCCTGACCAGGGATCGAAACCACGTCCCCTGCATTGGAAGGCAGATTCTTAACCACTGGACCACCAGGGAAGTCCCAGAAGTTGAATTTCTAACCAGCTCCCCGGCGATGCCGATGCTTCCCTCTGTACGGACTGCGCTGGAATAGCAGGTTTCATCAAGAGCCGACAGTGGTGGGGAGTGACTGCAAATATAATCAGATATCAGGGCTCACTGCCTGACAAAGTGCGCAGGATTGGGACAAGGTTGGGGTGGGGAGGGAACCCAGGAATGGGAATGTTTGGCCATTTCCTTCCGGCTTTCTGGAGCCATAATCCTGGTTCTCCCATCTACTGATGGTGAGACCTAAGGCAGGTTACTGATGATCTAAACTACAGATCAGTTTTTATCTGCCAGATAGGGAAAGCAGTAGTGCCTCCTGGGTTCTGCTTGTCAGCGTCTTAGCACGGAGTACTGGCACTCAAGTGCTTGATAGAAATGAGCTACTGTTGCCAGTAGGTGCCTCCGCTGGCTCACTTGTCGTTTTATTGAGTGCCTACTTTGTGTAAGACACCAAGCCAGGCTCTGGGGCTGTTTCAGGGAACTGTGCTGCCCTCAAGCAGCTAATGGTGTGACATCGTGGCTTGTAACCTTGTTTTGGTCATGGACTCATTTGGAGAATCTAAGCAAGGCAGTAGATTCATTCTCTAGAAAAAGCCACATGCATGCAAACACATGGATTTGCCGGTACTCGTGATCTCTGGGGTTGAGGACCCCTGATCTGGTGGATAGCAAAAGCCACCATTTTTCTGAGCAGCTACTCCATGAGTTCTGTGTTCCTTCATCCCGCTGCTGTCCTTGTGATTCGTGGAGAGCCTGGTGGGGAGGACATGGGGTTCTCACACCCTCTCCACTTTATCCAGGACTTGGCCACAGGACCAGGACAGGCCGTGGCTGAGTTCAAGGTGCCCTTTGCTGCCCCTCCTGGAGCTGCCGCACTCCAGCCCACTTCATTCCCTGGCCCCAGCCCAGATTGCTGAGAACAGGGCGGCTCTGAAAAGGAGCTCCTGTGGGTGCCTTCCTGCTTTGGGGAGTTTGAAAAGGCACCTCAACACAAGTTAGGGGACCCAGAGTTTGGTCCTGGTTCTTCCCTCTTATAGTAGCTGTTTGTCCCTGGGTAAGTGACTTTACCTCACTGAGCCAGTTTCCTCGTGTGGGAAATAGGCGTGTAATCCTTGCCCCTGCCTCAAAGAGGCGTTGTAGGTATCATTTGTGATGGGAAGAGGGAGGAGGGTGCTTTGCACACTGGAAGGTGCTGTGTGAATGTCGGGGCTTCTCTATCATGCTGGCAGGCTCAGGCCACTTCCTCCGCTTTAAAATAAGCCCAGCGCTTCCATCCTCCACTTTTGGTGCAGATCCACTAAGGGTATTTGATAGAGCGGGACATAAAGTAGGTGCTCACTAAAAGCAGTTTTGTTTAAAAAGGAAGAGCACCGTTTTGTTCAGGAGCTCCTGAAGGAGAGAAGGCTGGTGGGGCTGGTGCTCTAGTCTGTGCTCTGGAGGAAGAGAAAGTAAGGCTTTTCCCCCCACCCCAGTGGTGATGGGACTTGGAAGGACCACCAGCCTCCCTCCCACTAACCGATTTTTTTATCAAACCTCTGTGGGGCTTCATGCTTAATGAGATTCCTCCAGGAATGAGACCCGCATGGGATTTGGCCTCACGAAGCTCCTGTCCCCTGGGTGGAAAGACAGGAAAACAAGGGCTGGGACAGAGGGGCTGGCATAGGGTACGGAGAGGCCACCCCTCCCTTCCCCGAGGGAAGTGTAAGCAGCGCTGTGATCCTCAGTCACAAAGCTTTGGATGTGAAGACTAGGGTTGCTTTCCCACCTCCCACAGACACAGATGCCCTGTCTGGGTTGTCAGCAGCATCCTTTATTGAGTGGCCCTTTCCAGGACCTTCCTTTGAAAGCACAGTATAAAACTCGAAGGAAATGCTCCAGGGTGTCATGTATTTGCCTAGTGAGAAATAGCAGCAAGGCTTCATCGTAACCCATTGGATGTCACAGGGTGGCCCCATCACCTGCATGGTACAATGAAGTGTCACCTTGGGTTTCCACTATATAAAGAAACACTTCTTCTTTAGAGGCTGCAGTTCAGCCCTCTGTGTGTTGAAACCCACTCAGTTACAAATCACATGATCATAGGCTTCTAAAGTAAAAGAGTTCAGGGCTAATTTTCGTAGATCACAAGGACTCTGGCAGCTTGGGAACAAATCCATGGACTGTCAGCCTGAGTTTTGCAGTTAAGTGATGGCTGCTAGAGCCACCTGCCCTAACAATTTCTTAAGAATTACTCTAGGTCTGGAAACGCTGAGGTTGGCATATCTGTGATCTGCCTCTGAAGAGATGGCAGTAGAGCGTGAGGACAAGCATCTCTAAGCACTCGGTGAGACAGCTTGAAATCAGCCTCACCTGCTGCAACTTGATCACACTGAGGCAAGGCCTTTCCAGTCGGGGGGGGAGTGTTCAGCACAGCCATGTGAAGGGGGGACTCTGGTAACTCAACATTCCCCCACCCTCCCGAGCTTCCTGCCAAATCCTTGGCCTCCTGTTGGAATTTTGTGGGAGCCTGAGAACTCATCCCGTAAAACCAGTCTGGTCTTAACATCTTGTAAAGCTTATGGTGGTGATACCAGAGATACAACAAACCAGTGAATAAAACAAAAAAGAAGTAGGCTCACAGATGTAGAGAACACACTAGTGGTTTCCAGTGGTGTGAGGGGGTGGGAAGTACAACCTATTGGGTGTAAGATGGGCTACAAGGGTATATCATACAACACGGGGAATATAGCCAATATTTTGTAATAACTGTAAATGGAGCGTAACCTTTAAAAATTGTATTAAAAATTAAATCAGCAGTGTGAAATCATTTTAATTAAGGAAAATCCCTGTCTTTAAAAAAAAACCAACAACTTACGGTGATGGGGTTTTCTGAAGCACTCACGAAGCTGAGTCTTGCACAGAATGTTTAGAAATTGTTCTGCGGTCGCAGAATGAGTATTCATTTCAGTAGTTTGTTTGAAACCCGGGCAAAGCCACTCCATGGAGCAGTCTGTGAAAGTCGTAAACCTGGGCTCGCTGGCGGCAGTGTTTCCCCAGCTCCCGCGCACAGACATCTCTGACCTCAGCACCACTTTCCATGTACACTGGAACATGGAATGTTTAGTCCTGCAGCCAGCACTCGGAACGTTTTCTTTTCTCAGAGATGAGAACCTCTCCCTCAGTCAATGAACAGATCCTTCCCGGACACATATTAATAGCCAGGGCACATCTTCATCCCCTGCCGTCTCACCTCATGGGCTCCACTGGTAGGACATTAGACTCCCCGGTGTAACCCTTTGTGCCCCCCAGTCTTTTGGCCTCTCTGGTGACCATCTGACATGCTCCTTCCTCCCGTGCTGACCTCCTCCCTACTTAACTGCCTGCTTCCTGCCCCTGAAATCTGGCATCTGCCCTCACTCCCCTCCTGAAATTTTCTCGCTCAGAGAGATCCTGTGACTCTTTTTTTGCCTAAGGTAATGCCGCTTCCTCTGCTTCAATTTCTTTTTTTCGTTTTTCTGTTTTTTCCTCTGACGCGTTACCATCCCACTTCTTGGAACTCTGTCTTCTCTGGTTTCAGTGACACCTCACTTGTTCCTCTCCGGTTCATCTCCTATCCCTCCAGCAACAGCTGCAAGCTTCTGGGAACCCTTTTTTTTTTTTTTCCTGCTTTTCAGCCTGTAACTGTGACATTCCTTCGTGCATGACTCCGGCCCTTGACTCTGCTGTCATCTCCTCCACTGACCTCTTCCATCTCCTTGCCTTCAGCCATCACTTTTGTGCTGATGGCTCCAGAATCGCCCTCTCCCGGGGCCTCTCCCTGGGCTTCACTCTCACGTTTCTTCAGGGTCTCCAGGGCACTTCTACTTGAGTGTCTCGCTGTCCCCTCAAAGTTACCCTGTCTAAGTGCAGGCAGCCTTCTCTCCCTGCCTTCCCCAGCCCAGTTCCCTTTCCTGACTTCTCTGTTTGGATCAGGCCAGGCTCCCAGGCTCGAAACCTTGGTCCCACCTTGGAGGGAGGCCAGACAGGATGTGGTTCAGCGAGGACCGCTGGAGTCAGGTGGACACTAGGCCAAATCCCGGCTTGGCCACACGCTGCCGTGTGACCTCAGGCAGGCTACTTTAACTTTTCTGTGCTTTGTTCCCCTTGCCTGTCTTTTAAAAATGGAGGGATGACTTAATGGATCAGTAACTGATACTCTGAAAAGCTCAATGCAAACCACAGCACTAATCAATGGTTAGATGGGCATTCTTACTCTACTGCTGTTCTGTCCAGTATGGTAGCCACTAGCCAGCCCCGTGTGGCCATGGAGCACCTAAAATGTGGCTAATGCAGATCAAGAGGTGCTGTAGGTATAATACACACGCTCACATGCAGCGCTTGGTACAAGATAAAGAGTGTATAACACCTCATTGGTGACTGCTTATACTGATTACATGTTGAAATGATATTTTAGATAGAGTAAATAAAATAAAAATTAACTTGTTTCTTTTTTTAAAAAATGGAGGGATGATGATAGTTTCTTCCTCATAGAGTTACTGGGAGGATGAGCTGCGGTAATGTACGTGAAGAGCTTAGCACACTGCCTGGCCCATAATAAGCTCAGAGTAGTCCAGAGGCCCCTGGCATTTGCTTATGCCATTCCCTCCGCCAGGAGCACCCTTCACTTCCTCTTTGTCTGGCTGACCCTTCTGAGAGGTGGTGCCTGAACCCAGTTCCTCAGCGGAGTGGGATGTGGACTCCTCTGTCAGCACTGGTTGCCTCCATTCTCATTGCTGGCTCTCCTCTTTCTGCCCACTAGACCGTCAGTTCCTTGAAGGCCAGGCTGGGAATGGTTCACCCCCATGTCCACAGCACATGTGAACGCATAGCACCTGGCAGGTGCTTTGTAAATGCCTCCTATAAATAAATGACATGCCTTGGAATAACAGAACACACTAAGTAATTTTATAATCTATAGGCCACACGTGGTATGTTTATTAGCTCTCTGTAGCTTCCAATCCTGGATGAAATTAAATAAACTCTAATGTGCATTTAGCAGTTTACCGTTTTCTGAGCACTTGGCGTAAGCTATTTTATTAGGTCCTCACAACATTGCTGTGAGCTGGCCAGTTGAAGTGTTATCCCCATTTCTGGATGAGAAAACAGGCACAGAAAAGTTAAGTGACTTCCTCAAGGGGAAACAAGAACTTTCAAGTAGTGTCTGGCCACCCTCGTGTGGTTTACCTGCTCCCTGAATTCCTAGAAAAGTCAGAACTACCTGGATGTCTGGAGCACCAAGTACAGACATCTATAGGGCACTTACCACACTGTCCACACATTTTTTAAAAGGGCCTAATGGGCGGAAAACAGTATGGAGGTTTCTCAAAAAAAAAAAACAAACCCTCAAATAGAGCTACCATGTGACCCAGCAATTCCGCTCCTGGGTATATATCTGAAAAAAACAAAACCACTAATTTGAAAAGATACATGCACCCCAATGTTCATAGCAGCATTATTTACAGTTGCCAAGGTATGGAAGCAACCTAAGTGTCCATCAACAGATGAATGGATAAAGAAGATGTGGTATGTACACAATGGAATATAACTCAGCCATAAAAATGAAATTTTGCCATTTGCAGCAACATGGATGGACTTGGAGGGCATTATGCTTGGTGAAATAAGTCAGAGAAAGACAGATACTGCCATGGTATCACTTATACGTGTAATCTAAAAAATACAACAAACTAGTGAATAAAACAAAAAAACAGACTCTGGTATAGAGAATGAACTAGTGGTTACCAGTGGGGTAAGAAGAAGGGGAGAGGGGCAAAGTAAGGGTAGGAGGACAAAGGGTTATTATGGGATTATATGAAATCATGTGTGTGAAACTTTTGAAAATTGTAAAACACTACAGAATCTAATCTTTCATCCAATAAATAAAAAACAAATACTAAACCAAAAAAAAGGGCCAGATGGTAAATACGTTAGGCTTTGCAGGCCATAAGGTTTCTGTCACAGCTACTCAGCTCTGTCATTGTAGCTCCAAAGCAGCAGTAAATAATAAGTAAGCGAAGAGCATGGCTGTGTTCTAATAAAACTTTATTTACAGAAACCGGGGGCTGGGCCATGGTTTGCTGACCCCTGCTCTAGGCACAACTTCCAACTGAGAACTGGCAGACACACTCTACCCTAGCTGGATTGTTTGTGGGGAATTTGCTTTGGAGCCACCAGAAGAGCTTCAGCTAATGATTGCTTTTCTTTTCCAGATCCTGTCTCGGAAAGAAGAGTGGGAGAGCAGGACTCAGCACCAACTCAGGAAAAACCCACCTCCCCTGGCAGGGCTGCTGAGAAGAAGGTGAAGGATGACAGCAGGCGGGTGGCAAAGAGCACTCAGGACCTGAGCGATGTTTCCATGGATGGTGTGGGCATCCCACTCCGGGTACGAGTGCGGACCTACAGGTCCTTCTTAGGCTTTGTCCTAAGCCAGTGACAGGTGTCCACCCCTGGGTCCATGTGAACCCCGTCTGTGGGTGGCAGAGACCTCAAAAGGAGGGTCCTCAGCACTGTCTTCTCTCTAAGCCCACTGAGGCCTGCAGAACCTCCAAGAGCTGGGTGACAACTTTTCCCAAAGCATACGTTAGCTGTTTCTAAACCCATGAGGAAAGGGTTTCATGGTCAGATGAATGTGGGGGAAAGCTGGGTGGAACAAAGGCAGATTGCTTTCTCTGTGGCAGAGCTTCTGAGAGGCTTCAGGCATGTGTGTGTTCAAGAGGAGAAGGTCGTGAGCTGTGTTTCCCAGTCTCCTTTGTTATTGTGCTGTAGTCCAGGGTTAGAGAACCCTGGGAAGAGTGCGAGGCTCAGGGTCCCTGCCACCATGCGTTCAGGAAGAAGTTCCCTTGGATGGGAGATGGCCCGTCATCCAGGGAGAGTGGGAGACTCTCAGGGACACACAGGGTGGATTCAGCCTGCAAGGCCTCAGAACAGGGTGGGTCTCGTGGCAGCCCTGGCGTAGCCCTCCCCGCTGTGCAGGCCCGCCAGCCTCCTGCAGGCCCTGGGATCCCAGAGAAGCCCCACATTTGCACCTGGATTGGGGTGAACCCCATCTCTCTCCATGTGCCAGAACCAGAACACTGGCTGTGATGTGTTTCTCTGTGATTTCCATTGAGCAAAGGACAGGTTTTTGTGTCCCTTTGGGGGAGGCTGATAGAAACAGCAGTGGGCTTAGCCTCAAAAGAATTGTTGTCCTAAGGAATAATAAGTATTCCAATAATAATAAGTAGTAGTAGAAGGAATTATTACTAATAATGATCGCAGTGTTCGTTTGCTAATGCATTATCTCATTCAAACATGATTCACCGTACAGGGTAGGTATTAATATCATTCCCACTTTATAGATGCGGAAACAGGGACTCAGGCGGGATTACTTGCCCAGGATTGCACAACCTGTGGGTGACAGAGCAGACCCTTCCTGCTAACCATCCTGTTGGGCAGCCCTCCCTCTCACCTGCTCTCCTGCTCTGTGACCATTGACTTTCTGTATCATATTTTCTCATCTATAAGGTGGGAGTGGAAGTATCTGATCTAACCACCTGTCTCCTTCCTTGTTTTATTTTTATCTTAAAAAACAACCCAGCTTGTGGTTAGGATGGAAACTCTCTGGCATTGGATGCTATAATGGGTTACGTTTTAATGTATACATTCTAAATCTAGCCCTGTGCAGGTGGCTTAGATACACTTCTACAGAGTAACCTGAAATGGGTGATAAGCATATGTTCCTTGTTTCTTACATTTCTAGGAGGCTTTACTTCAGTGTACTCATCTATATATGGAGAGAGGTTCTCTCTAAAAATTACCTAAGAATGGACACATTTCAAGTGGATCCTTGTCCACTGGTTTCAAAACCTGCATCCTTTTGACCAAATATTACCTCGCAGATTCAGGTCTGAATCCCTTGGTTTGTCGGTTCTTTCTCAACAGTTTTGCATTTAAAAAAGAAAAGATTTCAATGTGAGATCACAGTGATGTACAGAATTACATGAGTTTTGACTGTTGTCACTTTGCATTTTGCTTTCGTAATCATGGAAGTTCCGAAACGTGCTGAGATTTCCATTTTATTTTCCTCTTTTTCTCCAGAACACCGAGAGATCAAAAGACTGGTACAAGACCATGTTTAAGCAGATCCACAAACTAAACAGAGGTATTGATTTTCATTTGTAGAAGCTGTGCTGTGCCTATATGTTGACTATTGTGGTGAGGACCTAAACTCACTTGGCCGGAAGACTGGGCCCTGCAGCTTGACCTCATTAGGCCCGGGCCTGCCTGAGCCCAGCCATGCACCTGCAAGAGCAGAGGGGGCGGGAGAACTTGTGCGCCTGCCTCACATGTGGGAGCTCAGGTCGGCTCCCAAGTCCTCCCTCCCAGGTGTTGGGGATGCAGCAGGCTGAGCCCAGCACTCTGCCCGCGTTCCTTAGCACCTGCCTGCCTGGGATGTGAGCAGCTTCGGCTCCCACCTGCTTCTGGCTTTAGGTGCACCTCCCGGTGTCAGCCCATGACTGCCTTGTAGGCAGAGCAAGTTGAGAAGGCATGAACTGGGAGTTAAAAAGTGTTCTCGTCTGGGTTCAGTCCCCCGAGCACTCATGTGACCGTGGGCCAATCATGGACCTCTCTGTGTCTGTTCCCTTCCCCTTCCTCTGAGGGGTGTGGCAGGGCCCAAATGAGAGCAAATTCTGCCTTGTGAAGTAGGACGCATGGTGCACCTGTATGACGGTGTTAATGTGAAAAATAATCTTCCGCAGCTGGGAGCCAGCACTTGGCAGGGAGCCCTGAGAGCCAGTCCAGAGCTGACACAACAGAGCCCGCTCAAGCTGGGAGAGTAGTGCTTCCCAATCAGGGGCCTGCTGGGCTGCCAGCAGGGGACCCAGCATGGTGGGAGAACCCCAGGCCAGCGCTCAGGCAGGTTGCAAGCCCCACAGCTCTCATCCGCCTGTGCCGCCACTCAGCTGCTGGGCAGGGATGCAGCTGCGCTGTGAGAAGGGTACCACTCCTCCTGCAGGCAGAGCATCCTGTCCTTCCCTGTGGCCAAATCCAGTCTGGCCGCCTGGCACAGAAGACGCACGAAGGCAAAGGAAAAGTGTCTGATCATTGTCTGGTCAGCCTGTGCCGCAGATAACCAGTCTGTCTGATTAACTGTGGCTGCCAGCTAACATCGCTGTTAATTAGCTCCTGCAGGGTTCAGAATGAACCTGGGAGTTCCCCTCTCCAATTTGTTTCTAAATTTTGAGATGCTCAGTATTTAGTGTTTCTGAGCCAAGAGTAAATTCACTCTTTTTGAGGTAGATGAGCTCAGTCACGGTGGTGATGCTGGCTGTCTGATCAGATGGTGTCAGTTGCACTGGTCACTTCCTAAAGCCAACGTCCATTTCCCCAACAATCTGTCTCTCACCTTTAGATCCAGCTTTGGCGGCCCAAATGCCGAGACACAGGTGCATATGTGAAAAATATGTAATTCTGCCCCTCAGGCAGCATTGGTCCTCTCATATATTATAGATGATAACTCAACCTAAATTACAGATTCTGAGCGAAACTACCTGCCCTAGGCAGAGGTATTTGAAAAATTAAGAATCCACTAATTTGTCCTGATTCTAATGTCTACAGCACAAGCTTTGATTTTTTTAAAAAAATCATTTGATGACAGTTGTTTTCTTTACACACAATTTATTAGCATACTTAATATTTTTTTCCCATAAAAGGTGAAAATTTGAAGCTTTGTGCTAAATGCCTTTTGCTTATTGGAGACTATTCATGGACTTCTTTGTCCAAGAAGAGAAATGATATTGTGTCTTTAGACGTGTCTCAGTCATTCAGGCAAAAGGACTGGATTTTTAAAAGCAATTTGAATTCCTTTCATCACTGGTGAAGCTTAGTATGTTCCAGAATTCAAGGAGCCTGAATTGTGTGTGGATTCCTATTCGTTCATTCTCTCCATTTGTATCTTCCTCTATTCTCTCTACCAAACCTGCTCCTCTGCCTAGACACTCCTGAAGAAAACCCTTATTTCCCTACGTACAAATTCCCTGAACTTCCTGAAATCCAGCAAAGTTCTGAAGGTACCATGAACTTAGACAGTGTATCTGTTGTCCTAGCCTTAAATTAATTCTTACAGTTCCATTTTAGGAATAAGATTTGGCTTTTAGATTTTGTTTTGATAGTCACTTTTGGTTGGCAGAAATTTTATTTCACTTATTTGCATGAATGTGCCGTGTTAAAATAACCAAGTCCTTTCTAATTCATTAACGTCTTTTCAAGTGTGATGCCGTGTGCTTTAATAACACTAAAATGGGTAATCAGTCATTTGAAAGAATCAATTGGAGATTTGTCACTTCCTCCACTTCGTGGTGGATAGTTTCAAAATCCACTGCTTTTCTCTGCTACAGAGGACAATCCTTACACTCCTACCTACCAGTTTCCTGCATCTACTCCTAGTCCTAAATCTGAAGGTAATTAAAGGAAAATCATGTGCCTCGCTTTGTACCGATACTGTTACTTTCTTTTTCACCTTGGGGTTCTTCCTGGTTGCTAAGAGCTCTCTCCCCATCATTTGCTTCCCTCTAACCTTGTGTTTTGTGGTGTTCTCTTGCTCCTTGCTGACTGTGTTAACAGGAATCTATCCAGGTGGTATTTTAATCCTGTTCCCTTGGAGTTTACAAGATTAATGGGGTAACCAGTGTGGCTTCGTTACGATACTTTGAACGTGTGGGGCTCTGGGAAAAGCTGCCTGTACTCAGATACCCAGGGCTTTGTATTTGGGGGTGGTCACATGATGCTGGTGGCAGCGCACTGACTCGGGGAAGCTGAGTCATTATGGCTCATGGGCAGCAGGTAGACATGCCAGCGTCAGCAAGAGAAACATTACCTGGTTCCCATATGTGCAACTAACTCTCCACTGGGCCCCCCTTGTCCTGGGTGTATCTCCAGGTATATCTCCTTGGTAGGGAATTCCCCAAGACATATCCAGGTATGGGATTCAGTCGTGGTGGGAGATGATAGCCCTTGAAAATAAGGGTTTTGACCAAGCTAGAAACCTTTTCATGAAAGACCTGGCTAGGAATTTGGACCTGCTGGGGGAGGATGGCCACACTTGTATCTAAAAAGATATTCTTTTCTGGGGTAAATAGCCTAGGTGTCAAAGAAGGTTCTAAAAGGTGAGTGAAGGGCAACATCCTGAGAATTATTCTAATCGCAGGGATTGTCTGATTTTTAGATGAGTGACCCAGAAGGAGAGGAGTGGGTGGGGTCGGCAGGAGGCACTTTGATTAAATGCTCTTCTCGGATGAGATGTTGAGTGCTCTGAGCTTCATTCATCCAAGTAGTATTGAGCATTTGTGTGTGTGCCACATGCTGTCCTTGGAAGTGAGGACAGTGCCGTGAATAAGATATGTCCTCTTTTCTCCCAAGTTCATGTCAGGCAGGGAGTTAGACAAGGGTGCTTCATCGTACTGGGTCCAGCGTGGTGGCAGTTGTGAGAGCGCGTGTCCAGAAGGCCCCAGAAAACCTTGCTGGTACACAGTAGGTCCTCAGCACATGCCTGAAGAGTGTTGCTGAGTGAAGGCTTTGGACCTCAGAAGCAGAGTTCTTCCTAGGGATGAAGCCCAGTGCAGTCCCGTCTTCAAGTGCTTCTCTGTTCCAATCAGCTCAGCAAACCATCCTGCCCAACCCGCCTCGTCATTGGTGAAGTCATCCATCCAGTCATTCACCAGACTTTTACCGATCACTTAACATATATGCGATGACATGCTGAGATGTGTTAGATACAGTTTTAGTTCAAATACCATATTCCATTTTTAGTCTCCCTGTGATGTGCCCGGTGGTTTCCAACCCTTTCATGCCTGGGGCCTATTGTGAACAAAAAGAAAAGTCTACGGAAGGAACTGATACTTAAAAAATTAAAAGCTGTTGATTTCATTTTAATCAGTGACCTCCTTGCTTCCAGCAAGCGTCTATCTGGTGTGGGATAACCTAGTTTTTTGCTCTTGGGGTGCTGATTCTAGCCAAAAAGCATTGCTTCAGAAACAACGAACTGAATTGGATGAGTGAGAAATTTTTTTAGGGTAATTTTGATCAAACGCAGTTTTTGATTTGTGCTTTATTTGGACTTGGAGAACCCAACCCACTCATAAGATAGGATCCCTTTCTAGGGAAGGTGACCAGCACACAGCATGCCTGAAGGTGTAGAGTCCCATAGACGTGGGCAGAGGAAGGCCACCTGGAAGAGTCCTGTGGAGAAAAACAGTGACTCCCATCAGCCGGGAAGAATGCCTTAGGCCTGTCGCAGGCAGTGCCAGCAGCTTCCAGGCAGCCTGTTGAGCTGAAGACAAGGGTTTTGCCTTCTGGCCTCACACCCAGAGCTGCCATGTCATCAGGCGCAGCACCTAGCAACCCTGGCTGACGATACCGTCTGCTTGGTGGTACACGTCAAGTCGGGCTTATTTTACCACGAGGCATAAAGAGTAAGGGTTGGGACAGTGGTTAAGGGTGACGCAGTGGTTAAGAGTCCTCCTGCCAATGCAGGGGACACGGGTTCGATCCCTGGTCTGGGAAGATCCCACATGCTGCGGAGCAACTCAGCCCGTGCGCCACGACTACTGAGCCAGCGCTCTAAAGCCCGCAAGCCACAGCTACCGAAGCCCACGTGCCTAGAGCCCGTGCTCCACCACAAGAGAAGCCACCGCTGGCTGCAACTAGACAAAGCACGGGTGCAGCAACAAAGACCCAATGCAGCCAAAAAAGGGAAAAAAAAGTAAGCGATGACATGATAAGTTTTCACTTATAATTTAGGAAGCAGACCTTACCAGTTTTTATTTTCAAAGACCAAAAAGGAAGAAATCATCTTAAAGGATAAAGAGGAAGAAAATTAGATTGGATATAAAAGATTCATAATAACCAAGATGATTAGACTTCAACACAAGTTTCTAAGAAGTCTTCTTCCCTGGAGATTTTTTTAAAAACAGGGTAGGTTCTGTCTCGCCCCCGCTCTTGCCTAGATGACAGATTCAGACATAGATCACAGATGTATTCAATTAGATGAAGGCTTTTTACAAATGAGAGAAATCTTTGAGCTAGCTCACTTTAAAGAATTGTTATTTTAATTTTTTTTAAGTAATGAGAGAGTCTCAGGTTTGTGGTTTAGATGTTTGTGAGTCCTGGCAGGTCCTCCTCAGCCCTGCCCTTGGTACCACTCCAGCCCCAGTGCTACCAGTCGGTGGCCCTGGGCTCTGCACACCCTTCTTAACATGGGAAGGCGTTATCCCTTTCAAAGAAGGGTGTTAAAGATGGATTAGCACCTAACCAAGGCAGCCTCTACGCATAGTTTTTAATGAGCATTAAAAAATAGACGGATTTACTGAGAAATGTAAGCTGTCATTCTGGAGTCTGTCCCCTGTGGCGAGGAGACGGTTGTTACTGCTGTTTTTTTTGTTTTGTTTGAACTCAGAATTTGAAACTAGAATTATTTACAATAAACCTATCAAAACCTAGCCTAAGGGCGGCTGCCTTTTGTCTAAATTCTAGTTGATTATAAAGTATAAAAAAGACATTTCTAAGTGTCTCAAAGCTGATTCTCCTAAATAGTGAAGGATTATGTGAAAGTTTGTGTCAAGCTTAGCAACCTTCCCCCACCCCCCGCCCTCAGCTACAGTGAAAAAGTAAACTTCTGGCCAGACTTTCAGAAGATAAATAGAATTATCATGTCTTAATCAGTGAGATTTAAAATGTACTTTTAAAGAAGCCTGTAAATTCCAACAAGGTGCAGTCACTTCTAGTCATTTTATAGTCTTTGACACCTCTCTGTGGGACAGGAGCAATGGTTATGTCTGATTATTCTTTATCTCATGGGGTCGTTGGGAGGAATTAGAGCTAGGAAATTTGGGAAGCGTAGAATGAATTCAGAAGACTTATTTCTTATAATTTCTCTATATACCCTGGTCCCTAGAAAGCTTATCAAAAATAAAAAGAATTTACCAGAAATCCTTTGGGGACAACTTTACTTTCTTTTTCTTTTAGACCTTCACTTGACCCACCCTCTCCTGCCCACCATTCCTTCCTTTCTGACCCAAAGCTACTTGTCTGTGAATTACACTCCAGTCTCTCTCTTAAAGGCACATGTCCCTTCCCAGCATCTGAGATGCCTCTAGGTCTTTCTGATTGTGGACGTGGGGAGAGGGGATGTTGATAGAGACTAGAGCCTGCGCCACCCACTGCTGCACCCAGACCATGGAGGGGCTGCTAGACATCCTGCCCATGGTTTCTTCCTGAAGCAGGAGCCAGAGGGACATGCTGTGGGGAAACAGCCTCAGAAACTCCTCCACTGCCTCCAGCCTTAGGAAGTAGCCCTGTGGTGGAACCCTGTTACTAGTGATAATAGCACAACCACTGCAGTGACGTGCTTGGCACTGCCCTGTCTTGAGCCCTTACTGAAGACGAGGCTCCATGCTGGGCACATCATAATTGTTACCTCATGTTCATCCTCCCAGCAACCCCATGAGGCAAGTCCTCATTTTTGGCAATAAAGGGTATGAGGCTCAGAAAGGTTAAATAATTTGTGGAAGATCACACAGCAAGTGGCAGAGCCAGGATCCAAACCCAGGTCTCTGGGGTCCCCCAGACATGGGTTTTTTATTTCCTCTGCTGATTCCTTTCCCTCTCCTGCTGCACTCTGTGTTCTTGGTTGGCGCCTTCGCCAGGGGCTCTCTGATGCCTAACTCCAGGCATCCAGCTTGCCCTGCTTCTGAGTCAGTCATGCTGCGCTCGGCTGAGCCAGAGTCTCCCGGTGTGGCATCCAGGAATATGAGGTTAGGAAAGCTCCCCCAGTAATTTGGCCCATGATCAGAGCTGAGAACCGCTGCAGTGGAGGAATGCCACCCTTTTCATCCTCCGAAAAAGGAAGGAGATACTCGCCAATGCAAATTTGGGGATTTGAATATAGAATGAGAGTGGGGAATACAGATTGAAAAGAACACGCTTTTCTACTCTGAACATGGCCAGATGATGCTGGCTCTCTTGACATGCTTCATGTCAGAAAATGGGAGATTATTTTCAAATGATGCCTCCAAGTCAGCAAAGCCGAGTAACTGATGTATTACTTTGTGGTCCATGCCGGCGAGAACCCATTTGGCCCTGTCGGGATAAAGCGCTATCGTATCAGCCAAGGGTGAAATCTCAGAGACCAGCTTTTTCCCTTGCTTTTGGATGCCTCTTCCACTGCTGTCAGGCTGATGGTGGCCACTGCCACCTCCTGGTGAAGTGACTCAAGACACAACCTCAGGGGGCTTCCCTGGTGGCACAGTGGTTGAGAGTCCGCCTGCCGATGCAGGGGACACAGGTTCGTGCCCAGGTCCGGGAAGATGCCACATGCCGCGGAGCGGCTGGGTCCGTGAGCCATGGCCGCTGAGCCTGTGCGTCCGGAGCCTGTGCTCCGCAACGGGAGAGGCCACAACAGTGAGAGGCCCGCATAACGCAAAAAAAAAAA